CCCCTCGCCCCAGGCTGGGGCTGCCTGCCATGCACACTCCTCCTTCCTGGAAGATCTCTTCTCCTCCCCCCACCCAGGATCCCCCTCCCTCCCCCTCCTCTGTTAGTTTAATTAGCACTAATGGAAAGTGGGCTCCATCAGCACTTGGCAAGCTGCCTGGGGGATGCCGGGCGGGCACAGGCTATAAATTACCTCCGGAAAGCCTAAGGGGAGGGGGGGGTGGTACCCGGTAGCGCTGGATTTATCTGTACCCACTCAGCAAAGCAGTGCCAGGGTGTGGGGACCGTGCCAAGCCAGTGCCATACTGGGACCTGTCCCCTTCTTCCTCCCCAGGGATGGGGGTGTCTCTGCCCCCATTAATGCCCAAGAGAGGGGTGTTCAGCATCTCTGTCCTGCAGAGGGGGAGCAGGCACAGGGATAGCAAGGGAAACGCAGACAGACAGATGGACAGACAAGTGCCTGCCCCGCCTCTCGGCACACCCTCCCTCCCCTGTGCCAACAGGTACCTGAAGTTGGGGGCTGATGCCCACTCCAGTGCCAGGCAGGCCAGGTTGACAGTGGCGTAAACCAGGAGGAAGAAGGTGGTCACGACCCCTGCGATGGTGTTGAGCTTCCCAGAGAAGAGCACCAGCTGCAGAGAGCATGGGGGGGACACAGGGTGAATGCACCCCCTGGGATGGCACCCCCAGCACGTGCCCAAGCCATCCCTGCCGAGCTTGGGGCATGCCACAGCGGTGTGCCAGGAAAGGGCAGTGCCACACGGGCAGGAATCCCTGCCCCTTGCTGTCATTTGTCCTTCACTTATGGGCTCAGAGAGGGAAGGGCACAGCCACAGCAGGATACCTGGGGCAGGGGGCCTGGGGGGGATCCTCAGGAGTAGGGGGACATGCCAGGCTCCATGACACCCAGCCCTGGTGCCAATCCACTTCACCAGGTGAAGCCAGGAAAGGAGCATGGCTGGCAAACTCACCTGCACCACCAGCCAGGAGAGGATCACCGCCATCACCGGGTTCCCACTGGCAGACGTCTTCTTGGCCAGCGCCAGCGCCCGGCCTGCGGGCAGAGGGGGGAAGTTGGACTGGGGCACCCCAGCAGGCACCAACAGGCTTGGCCACCAGCCAGAAGACCTGTCCCCAACCCGGTGCTGGGGTGGGGGCAAACACCAGGGCACGCAGGTGACCCAAATGGGCACATGCCAACCCACAAAGCATCACTCCCACCCCTACACCAGGAAGGGAGTGCCTTGGTGCCAGGGCTGGTCCCCGGCAGATACAACCTATCAGATGGGCTCTGGTGGGCGCCAGCACACTGCAGGAACTCACCAAAGAGATCATCCCGGGCCAGGGCATAGAGGATGCGGGATGCCCCGATGAGGTTGCTCATGGCTGCAGAGAGGGTGGCAGCGTAGATGCCCACAGTGACCAGGGGTGGGAAGATACTGATGTCACGCAAGAAACCATAGTCCTTCTGCAGGAGGGTCCTGGAGAGAGACATGGACACACTGGCATGCATGGCACACAGGCCAGCATGCCCTGGCACAAGCCTGGCACCGATGGCCCTGGCAAGGGGACGGGCTGGCCATACCTGTTGCAGGTGGCACACATTAGGAAAGCCAGCAGGTTGTAGACGAGGTAGGTGAAGAGCACAGCAGAGATGGTGCCCCGCGGGATGGAGTAGCTTGGGCGCTTCAGGTCCCCTGTGGGCAGGAGCAGGCAGCATTAGCGCCCACAGGCAGAGCAACCCCTGCTCTCCTCCAGCCTCGGCTCCCACTCCCGGTGCCACCCAGCCCCACACCCTCTGCCCGTACCTGACATGTTGGAGCCTGCCATGATGCCAGTGCAGCCGTTGAACATCACCGCGAAGACGGAGCTGAAGCTCATCATCTGCCCGGTGGTGTAGTCCACCGCGTACCCACCTGTGAGACGCACAGGCTGTGACAGGCTGTCTGGGGTGGCACAATCCCACCATATACCCGCTCCTCGGTGTCCATATACATAAAACATGGGAGAAACCATCCCATGGCACCTGCTTTGTGTCCACAAACCCCCCCACCCTCCAGCAAGCCCCTGCCAATGTGGAGGTGCCAGTGCCATGGTGGGTACGGTGGGCAGGGTGGGGAAAGAGTCTCCTCACCCCCCAGGTTGTCTCGCAGGGTGGCGAGGGAGAAGCCGGTGAAGGAGCCATTCTCGATCTCGGAGCCGTTGAAGCGGGGCAAGCGGATGGGCACCCCGATGGGCCGCGTGGCGAAGAAGCTGACAAGGATGGTGCCCAAGACACCCGCAACGATGAGGAAGATGAGGAAGGTGGCCTTAGCGTAGATGGAGGCGCCCACGAGGCACACAAGGAGGCAGAGGGCCAGCAGCACAGTGCCATAGAGCAGCTCGTACCAGTAGCTCTGGGGCAGGACATGGACACCTGTGCCCGCTTTTTGCCCTGGGCAGAGAGAAGCCAGGATCAGTAGGGCTCGGAGTGGGCATCTCTGGGAGCTGAGAGCTGCTGGCATTGTGCCAGGCATGACAGACATCAACCCGCTGGCCAGAGGCCTGGGCGAGCTGTGCTGGCTGTGCCGGGCATAGTGCTTGGCACTCCTGGCCAGGTGCTAGGGCTGCTCAGGTAAGGGACACCAGCTGTCCCCTGTCACCACACACAGCAGTACTCACCGGGAGGGATGCCAAAGCTGTCAACCACCGCCTCCACCAGCCCCAGCACGTAGAGGGCACTGCCACACACATTGGCCAAGAAAAACATGATCCCGATACTGCCCCCAAACTCTGGGCCCAAGGCACGGCTAATCATATCTTGCTCGAGTCAAGGGAAGATGTCAGCAGTCCAAAGCACCACCGCGTGCCCCCACCTCTCCCTCCCAGGCCAAGGGTGTCCCAGCCCCAGAGTGGCACCCTGAGGCTGCTGGGTGATCACTTGATTTTGGCCCATCTGCCCTGCCCCAGCAGCACCCACAGCAGAGGATACAGTAGGCTCCTCCAGCATCCAGTGCCCCGTTGGTGGCGATGGCACACACGGAGAGCACAGTCATGCCAATGATGAAGTATGCCACCGCGAACATGGCCAGGGCTTGGTACAACCCGGCATGGCCCACCACGAACCCTGCCGAGGAGATGGGAGAGGTCAGCATGCCCGTTAGCTGGGCACGGACCACTCCCAGGACAGGACCTGCGGCACAGCCGTTGCCCAGAGTTCACCCCAGTGAGGCACACAGGCCGTTCTCACCCTCGTGCCCACAGCTCCCCCCCAGACATGCCACCCCCTTGCTTGCCAGGGTGGGGATGTCCCCACTCCATGGTGCTGCCACCTCCCACCCGCAGCAGCACCCAGCCAGTGCCTCCACCTCAGGGCATCTGCATCCTCCTGCCGTGCCAGGATCAGGCCCAGGCACACCTTGAGCACGGGCAGCTGCCAGGCTGTACCCAAAAAGCAAACAAACAGGGCAGAGGCTCTGCTGCCCACCCAGCCCCGGGGCACTGTGAGGGGGTGCCAGGGCCCCCATGCCCTGCTGCCACCCTCAGCAGGCAGAGGATGCCTCGCGCCCCAGCGTGGGCACCAGGGGCTGAGGGGCTCCCCGTGGGGTTCACGGTGCCGCCCCGCTTACTCGCTGCAAAGCAGGAAGCAAAAGCAGCCCCAGGCATCCCCGCCAGCTGGGGTAGCGCTCCCCAGCCTGTGTGTGTGTCCCTACCCTGGGGACAGGACACGCAGAGGTCCCCGCGGCCCTGCTCGGGTGGCGGGAGGCAAGCCCGGCTGGCAGCGCCGCAGGCTGGCAGGGGCGGCCCGCGGCTGCCGGGAGATGCCCTATCGCAGCCGCAAGGCGGGCCGCAGCCATGCCCGCGGGGAGGCGGGGGGGT